AACAAAGTTTTGCACAAACTGATGTGTTTGTTTAAACTGTTTTTGGAGGTCCAAACATGGCCGACCGAAGTGTTCGTTGTTGATACAGTTACTGAAAATGATTTGATTTGTCATTAGGACTCAGAGAGGACCTAACTTCTGCTGTCAGTGACGTGAAAATACTGACTGCTGATGTTTGTCAGGGTTTTGTTAACTTATAGCAATGTTGATAATAATAATAATAATTTTAGGATCTTGCGTTTAAGTTTTTTCCTTATTGGCTGCTGTCCAGTCATTTCTAACATGCACTGTTACAATGCTGTTTGTTTCTTGCATAAATAAAAAGTATTTATTGATCAGTGAGTAGAAGGATGGGTGACCCCTCCCACTCACTTTGTTTGTATCCCATCTGTTCATCTGTTTTCAATGAATCTCCTAAATATAAATAAACAAATACTATGTTCAGGAATGCTTGGACTCTTATTTCTTCTGAACAAACATTTCTGTAACTCGGTGTAAGGGCATCGTTTCTTGCTCATAGAATCGTCTAGAATTCAGATCTATGACATTGAGATAACTTATCATTAAAAGCATGAGGCCTTCTGATGTGATCTTGGAAAACCGCGACATCCTTTCCCCTCGTGTGTCCACACAACGTTCAGATGTGTGACCAAAGCATTTTATTCCAGTCTTTCTGTTAAAGCAAATTTTACTGATATATGATATGGAATAACAGTTTTTTATATTGTAAAGGTAAAACACTGCGGGAAGGAAAAACTCCCTTTTAACAGGAAGAAATGTTTTGGCATAAGTAGAAAACTTCTGCTGAGATAGTATAAATATCAACACTTTACCGAGTTCTTTTGAACATCCAATAGAAGACAAAACACTGGTCAGTAGACCATTTAAGACTTTATTACTTCTAGAAGGGAGATGCGTCCTGCATAACAGCGTGTTATGCAGTTTTATTAGAGAAGCTCTCTCATTTTAGTCTAAACAACAGCATTCCAGTAAATTTCCACAGACAATGTTCCCTCTTATCTATATTTTCCCAGGCAAGCATGAGCGAGAGTCTGCAGCTTTCTACTTCTCAAGGACACGTGGTCTCATGCCTTAATTTTTCAGGGCTGTGTCCACTTAATACTACACTAAATAACTTTATAACACTTTTTAATAAAAAGCATAGCATTATTGAGGCACAAAAATAATGACAACAATAGTCATAACCTCAAACCCAGCCCCCAGCATCTTTTGTTTCTTGTGTTTTGTTTACATGTAAAGTAAATGTAGGAGCGTGATGAGCCGTGCTTGCGGGTCCCGCGAAAATTTGCAAGCAGATTTGCGTCGCAAAAACGCGTTTGGCTCGCGAATAAAACCACGCGTGTCAGCTTTTGTGTTGCATTTTGTACCCCTCGAGTTTGAAAAATCTGAGCAGAGTGAAGCTGACCCCCCCAGCCACTTGAAACGTAAAGGCAAATAGGCGGAGCGGTTAGTGCTACGTTTGTGCAGATTTGTGCAGGTAAAATGAGCGTTTGTGCTGCTACTGTTTCTGAGATATTAAACTTTATTTTATAGGTCATTCAAAGGTCACCATCCCCCCAGACTGCTCCAAAACTGGCCAAAATGGTCTACTTTTTTAGTGCTACGTTTGTAAGTAAGTTTGCTAAGTTAAGTCCCTCTCCTCCTCTTCAGTTCGCCTCAACATACGCTCGTCATATTCTGTGACATGATTTACTCTGAGGTGTTTGAAAAGGTTAGTGATGTTGCCACAACGATACATGCCAACCCTCCCGATTTTTCCGGGAGAATCCCGAATTTCAGTGCCCCTCCCGAAAATCTCCTGATTTCCCACCCGGACAACAAAATTGAAAAACCATATCACAGAATTCATAGCGCGGCCCAGCCAATTCCAGTTTCCAACAATGACGGCAGCTACTTAGTTTTAATATTACTCTTATTTCTCTTTCTGGGTCGCAAAAAAACCTTTAACATATTTTCAGGTGAGAATGTAGCTGTGTAAACTTCAAATATCTGAGCCGACACATCGTCTTCAAACCCCGCGGTCTTTCACTACTCGGGTTAAACATGATATATAAGTCACTTTGATAACAATAAAATGTTATTGTTTGGCTTTTTCAGTGTTTTATTTGTGCGTGAGTAAATCGGTTTGGCAGAGAATAAAGTTATTAGATTAGATTAAATTAAATGTAACTTTATTGATCCCTCAGGAGGGTTCCTCCGGGGTTTTCACACAGCTGAAGAAAACTGACTAAACAGAAGTGTGAGACGGTCGAGAGTTTACGTCAGCGCCCGGTTATATTCACCCTCCACCAAGGGAGCTCACTACCCGGCTTTCTTTAGACCGCGAAGGCCGGGTCCTCAGGTGGAAGCAGCCTCTGAATTTGGACACCCCGCTGTTTCCAGGCCGGCCAATAATAACGGTGACATTTAACATATTTTATCCGATAAAGAAACACTGTAAAATGTATGTATCACCCCAAAACAGCCCTTTTGAATTGTCTCCCCAATTCTGAGGTCTCAAGGTTGGCAAGTATGGCCACAACACCTCACTTTTTTGCCACATGTATCGCAAACCACGTCTCAGCTGTTTGTGGAGGTAAAATACGTTCACACATGACTCCAATTACACTCAGCCATTGTTGGGAGTGCGCACGCCAAGGGGCTGCGAGACATTTATACTGCCGTATTTCGCACATGACTATGAAAGGCGGAAGAGGAAGTAGTTCCTTTGAATGTAGACAATCCGAATGATATACAGTGGGGCAAAAAAGTATTAGAATTATGGGTAGAAATAATCTAACCATCATGCATTCGCACTAGCAGGTTTCAAAAGCATTATGTTTAGAAATAGAAATAAATTTTTAGAAAAGAGAGAGACCCAAACAAGTAAAAAGATGTATTTGGACAGTGACTCAGATTTTAGTTTAAAAATGACACGAGAAAGTTTCCAAGAAATAAAATAGTCGTGAATAATAAATCTGGAATGCACATGTCCTGTTAGCTGTTTGTTTGGTTTAGTCATTTTTTATTCCTCTTTAAATACCCCTAAGCATAGAAAATAAATACAGATTTTTCAGGTTCTCCAAACTCTCAAAGTCACAAACATTTAAAAGACAAAAAGAAAAACAAAAGAACAAATAACAGAAGAAATAAATCTATTCGTTTCTGGTTTTCCCATCATAATTGTTCCTTTTATGCTCTTACTAACATAAAATACTAAATATTAAAGACAGGTCTTTAGCCCAGTTCTACCAAAAGCAGAAGAAAACACAGAGCTCAGATTTCTTCTTCTTTGGCTGTTTCCTTTTGGGATCACAGTTTAATCCAGTTTGAGTTTTTCTGGAGCTTTTTGCTGCTCCTGCTGGTTCCATAAAGAAAGCAAACATGCAGAATAAAATGTGAATTCAGCAATCTTTAATAATTTTGTTTCCAAAGGTTAAACCAGTGCTGTTGTATACCAGTAAACCTGCCGTTTAAGGGGGATATAAAGCTGATTTATGGAGGTAGTTTGAATGTGAGTGACGTGATAACAGCGTGCTGGCTGTCTCACTCTCTGTGGATCTGCTACAAAGCTTACAGTCTTTAGTTTAGGAGTCTTCAGTCTGAAGATGTTTTCACCTTAACTTGCTCTGAATATCTTTGTGTGGTGCCCGGCCACTCAGGAGTTCCCCAGACATCCGTTTTGGGTCCTCATCTGTTCACATTAACCAGAGATACAATTTAGCTTATCTGCATAGATTGCGGTTTTTTGAAAAGCTAAATAACTGGTTGTTCTTTCATGTGATGATATACACTGACCAGGCATAACAGTATGAGCTCCAGCCTAATATTGTGTTTACCCTCCTCTTTGCTGCCAAAACAGCCCAGTCATCGAGATATGGACTCCACACAGGCAGTGTGTTAACAAAAGATCCCATAAGTCCTGTCAGCTGGGAGGTGGGACGTCAGTGGATCAGACATGTTTGTCCAGCACGTCCCACAGATGATTGTGTGAGTTGAGATCTGGGGAATTTGGAGACCACCTCAGACTTGTTGTTGTGCTCCTCAAACAGTTCCTGAACCATCTGTGCTTCATGGCAAGACGCATTATCCTGCCGATGGCAGTCACAGCCATCAGGGAATACTGTTTCCCAGCAGACCAATACTCAATACCATCTTCTGTTTACTTTCTATCAGAACCAGGACTTTATGTCAGCAATCTGAGCTACAGCAGCTAAGGTTTGGATCACAGAGCCAGCCTTCACTTCCTACGTGTATCAATGAGCCTTGGCCACCCTGTCTTTGGTTCTTTCTGTTGTTTCCTTTGACCACTTTTGATAAAGACTGACCACAGCACACCAGGAACACCCTACGAGTCCTGCAGTTTTTCAGATGTCCTCAGTCATCTAGCCTCACAGTTCAGCCCTTTTCAAACTACACTTGAATTTTTCCTTTACATCAACTTAAAGACTAACTATTCACATACTCCCTGATGTAGCCCTCACACCAACAGGTGCCATAATGAAGCGATAATCAGTGTTATTCACTTCACCTTCACCCATGATGTTATGCCTGATCGGTGTATGTC